GCATGGTAGGCGCGCAAGTTTTGGATCTGCCTGATGGACGTTGCGAAGCGCATGGTAAGGTAGAGCACTATTGTCTTAGGTCAGCCCTGGCCACCGACAGAACGACCATGAAGTCTGAAAATCAGCAGCACTGCTGCCGCCCACATGCCCGAGATCCAGCTGCAGCAGTGGGTGGCTGCAAAGGAAACGCGCAAAGGCGGGAATGAACAACAAACAAACGGGAAACGTAGGGGTTTGGCATGGGTGTGGTATAGCAGGGTCCAATTATAGCAACTGTGGGGAGACGAAACGACAGGGGTGGCAGGGAACAGAGAGCAAAGAGAAATGATGTACGCACAGAGGTTTCTTTCATCTGAAGTGGCCGAGAAGCCCGTCAGGTTGCGAACGTGGTGCATTGAAGTTTGGCTCCAATTGAAAATCACAACAGCGGAAAGCAAAAGACCGCCGAGAGCATCCAGCCACCATATCTTGGCATAGAAGCCGACGATGGGGAAAAGGATGGAGCCAGTGTTGAAAATGACATCGGTCATGGCATCGTCCGCTCTGCGTATATTGTTAGCAACCCCATTTCAAAGATGTGCCGATCAGGAGTCGGCAACGTAAACAACGTTGCGACAAAGGAGGGGGCGGCAACACAACTTACAGGGCTCGAACGCTGGAGTTCTTGATCACACGGCACCAGAGCCAGCACAGGCCCTTGATGACGACGGTTCCGACCATGATGGCGATGGCCGGAATGCCTCTGTGTATTCCCGGATGTTTAGCGGTCGCACGACGGCGGAACGGAGCTGGGGAAGCGTAGCAGTGGATGCGACTTACAATTGGATGATTTCGTGTTCAGGCGACATGAGGCGTTGGATGGCTTCAAGAGCGACCTGGCAGAACGATGTGACCATGACGATGGAGAAGACCAGAACGCCAAGAGGCTCGAGACTGGAACGAGTCAGCACACGTCTCGCGGGATGTAACGCGGAGGCGAACGAAGGTGACAACAACGAAGGGTTAAGTATGGTATAGAAAAGAATATTGAGGCTCACCGTCGTCTACCAACAGGGTACGAGTGCTGGTCATTTTGGCTGGCAGCAATGAGTCTAGTCGTGGTCCACACGATGGCGGTGCTGAGGAAATCGAGAACGGCGTCGACCAAGCTGGCGAGAACGGAGACGGAGGGGACGGAGAAGACGACAATGATCTTTCCCAACAGCAAGATACCGTTGGCAATGAAATTGACCCAAATGGCGAGGGTGACGATGGGGTCACTGCTGTCGACATCGGCATCCTCGAGCCAGGGAATTTCGGGCTTGGGGGCGTCTGCGTCTTCGGCTAAACCTTCCTCCTCGTCGTGGCCGTTGAGCGTTAGTAGTGGGGTGGACTCGGTGGGCCGAAAAATGTCCTTTGGCGTGCGTTTTACCTTTTGCTGAATGCTGTTTGCCGAACTGCTGTGCTCCGTGCTGCTGTTTTGGACTGAAGCAGTGCTGCCATAGCCGGGACCACCGCGCGACGGAGGAGAGGTAGGAGTTGGCGACTCTTCGGTGATGGTTTGGGGTATGTCAACTGGGCGAAATGCTGAGGCGTCCAGAGCTTGGTGGTACTCGTTGAGCAGATCGTGGGGTACTGAGGAATCCAGAAGCTGGTCGATGTAGAGGTACATGCGAATGAGGTCATTGTTTCTCTCGTAATATTCGCGTCTTTGGGCATTTGCCGGAGGCGTCAGTCAGCATTCGACTCGATACGGACGGTTTTGTGTCTCTACGAATTGGTGGTGTTTGGACGTGGGCAAGTTGCATTGGCGGCGGACATGAGCATCGCGAGGTGAGGTACGGTAGGTAGGCATCCATGGCACACACTCACATAGGCTTTGACATGGCCTGAAGCTCGGCCTCGGTCTTCCAGTAGCGTTCCCATTGATAGCGCGGGTTGCTGTTTCCGATAAGGCGCATACTCCTCATCTGAGGGCCAAAGATGATCTCGCTCAGTCGGCGCTCCTCGGCCGCGGAGCGGCGGTGGTCGTCGTCCGAGTCCCTGTGGAGGAAGCTCAGCAGCGACTGGCCCTCGTGGTCGTCCTCATCGTGGCCCAGCTGATGGTAGGCCGGGCTCTTGAGAGATTCGCGCAGGGTGGCCGAGGAGCGGTTCCTGATGAGAGTAACCAAGGCGCCGCTGCCTCTTGTGGTCAAGGGATAGGGATCGTGGTCGGGGTTGAGGACGGAAGGACGCTTGAAGGAACCCACTCGAGGGCTGCCGGAGCCATGAGGTTGCTGCTGGGGCGAGCTCATGTTGGCGGCGACAGCAATTGAGCAAGTGGGAGCCAACAGGTGCGTCGTGGTGTGGCAGTGGCAGTGACGGTAAGTAAGTAGTATGACGACGGATTGGAGGCAGAGGCGACTGGAGCGAAATTGGGGTGGATAAGAGGAGGGAAAAAAGAGAAGGAAGAAGAGAGAGGGAGAGAGAAAAGAGAAATTCTAGCCGGGCGCTAGATGAGGGAGAGGCGAGGCTAATAGATGAGATTGATAACCTCGTGGGGAGACGCGCCGCGATGATGAAGATGGGCCCGGAGGGTCTGAGGAGGAGCAGAGACGAGAGCCAAGACTTTCTTTCAGGTCCAACATGCATGCATGGTGAGGTACGGTAAGGTATTGTATGGTATGGTAAGGTATGGTATGGTACCTAAGATCCCTTCCTTCGTTACCTCACTCTGTACGCCGTGCGCCGAGCAAAGGACGGGACTCAGAGCTCGCCTCGTCTGGAGCTTCCCAACCTTCCCGGGGGGCTGTGATTCGACGGCAAGGGACGCTTGGGGAGCTCAACGCCACGGGCTCTAGCAGACCCGACTAATGTTGTATCGAAGGGGTGGGCTGCTGGCGTTTTAAGCTGTCGCTGCGCCATGGGTAGCTCTCTCTGCCCATCTACCTACCTAGGTTTCCACCCGTGCTGCCTAGGTCTGTTTTTTTTTTTTTTTTTCCCTTTCTCTCTGTCTCTTAACCTAGCTGTCCGCCCAACATGAATGCCCAGAGAGAGCGCCTACCGCATTGTCTTTCGCGGTAATATCTGCTCAACATGTACCACACACTCAAGGTTTGCCCGCGCACCCACACACCATTCCCACTCAAGCAAATTAGTTTCCAGATCCAGCAGCTAGAGCAAATGGGAAGTCCACCGTCCGGGACCCTCACCTCGCGCCAAGTTGCCATTTCAGCCGGTGTCGGCTCTCCGCAATGTCCACCGGAGAGCCTGTGTGTAGGGCCCCTCCTCGAAAACATTAGAAATCTCGCCTCCCTCCCCCCGTCTCTCGCTGCTGAACAGTTGCAGAAGCCAGACAGACTGCGTTGGACCTTTGGGCTGCCGGGTTTCGTGACTTCATCGCATAACCTGCTTGACGCCCCGGCTGCGGTTGTAAGGCGAGCCTTGAGAACAGTCCCTCCATCTCTGCTCGTCTGCCTGAATGAGGAAGCCGACCTGACTAAGTAGTCCGAATTTTGAATGCACAGATCTGAAGAAACGGAAGCTCTACTCGACGCCAAGATTGGATCAAACGACAACTGTTTGCTTTTGCTCCTCTTTTTCTCTCCCCTTTACCCCTTCGTGACACTCTTGTGCGAGGCGCAGCTCGTCGGCATCGCGTAGAGTGAATTGATGTGCAAATCCAAGAGTCTCGAATGACTGGAGTTGTTTCTTCCGGGTCAACATAGCCAGCCAATATTTCATGGAGCAAATGCAACCTTGCAACTTCTCACCCGCGACTTTGTCAACCTACCTACCTAGCCAAAGAAAACCCTTCATCGTGCCGAAGCCCCATCTCGGCTTGGATACTCTATTCTGTCTATTCTGCCCCTGCCATTGGCTCTAGTCGGCTCCTACAGATGTCGACGTCGGTTTTCTTTTTTTTTTCTGTGGTCCCCCTGCTTGCAAACCTGCAGAATACGGCAGAGCCGCAAGTCCATTTCGACAACTCCTTTCAGCAACTTTTGGCGAAGTTGTCATTTGCTAATGCCCCTCAACCGGCTCCGACTCCCTCGCAGACAAAACCGACTAGTCTTTCTCATCCGACCCGCGCAGTGATTCGCCTCGGCATTGGTTGCTGCTTCCCTCTCATGCGAGATGGGGTTCCGAGCCGATCGAGCTTGAACTACATCATCGGCAACACGGGCGTGAATAGCGGCTAATGTTGCTTTTGATTGTCTCGTTTCTGTGGCCGTGTGAGATAGTCACTGCGGTCGTCCAAAATTGTATGTTTTGGCAACTTGTCATGTTTGGAGCCCCTGCTGTCCTCGTCATTCTTCATGACATTATCATCGTCCTCATTACATCCATCGCCATTGCCCGCTATATTCACAAATGCATGGATGCATTCAACCATCCACCTGCAGGCCTTCGGCAATCGATGTTGCTTCCCTCCATCTACAGCGATGCGTCGCAAACAGTAGAAAGCCGGGTATTGATCTCATCTTCTACGGCGATCGCGATTGTCCCTTGGCTTGAGAAATGCTTTCATTGCCGCATGTCAGTTCTCATAGATTGAAGCAGACAGGCTGCGATGTTTATCTGCTAAATTTCACGTTGTCTGTGCTTCCACGTTGGTCTCCTCCCCTACCCTTCATACGATATGTTCCTGTGCCATTGGGTCTTCGCCTGATTGAATGGACCCGGCCGATGTCAACTCTCTCTTCCTTTCAAGCTGACCCTGTGCCTAAATTACTAACCCAAAGACCAGTCGAGGACTTGACTAGCTGGTAGGTCAGAAAGAGGCAACGCAATCATGATGTGCGACCATGGGAGTAGCCTTGCCCATCGCCGGCGTATGGACCTTGCGGTGACCAGAAATACACCCATCTCATATCTGAACCAACCAGCAAGAAAGACAGAGGTAAACGAAAGGCACTTCCACAATACTGCTAATGCGCCTCGTGCGCACTGGCCTACCTGCTCGTGTTTCAGTCTTGATGGGATGTTTGTTCGCAACGCCCTTCTCGGCTCTCCCCTCCCTACAGCGCGTATAGCTGACTTTACTGCTCTTGCTGCTGCTTCTTGGCCAAAACTTCTTGTGAGACTTGAGCTGTGGCCTTGACGATGATGGCATGCTCAACGTCGTGCATCCTGTTGCTAGTGAGTCGAATGGAATGGTTGAAGACGTTGTTGTGGGAGTACACTACCTCTTCTCGAGGTCTTCCAATTTGTCGGTTGGGAGGACTTCAACCTCTTGAACCAGGATAGGCTCACCACGATCAACCTGGGCGATCACATAGTGAATCCTGCGAAATCTTGGTCAACAGCTGGGGTCTCTTTGGGGCACCATTCGGAGTTCTTACATGGCACCCGTTCGGTTGTTCTCCAATTTACCGGCCTTGAAATCTTCGTATGCCCTGCCAATACTGAGAGAAAGTCAGATTATTTGCAACGTGCAATTGAAAGGTGCCAAGTGACGTACGCGTTGGCGCCATCGTAGCGGCCTTTGGGAAGACGTTAGCAAGCACCCGACCGCAGCTACACCAGTCCGTCAAGATGACAACAACGGGAAGTAACGTACCGGGCAGCGCGGGGTCTGTCGCCATGGTCAGCAAAAGTTAAATACCTCATGTCAGGAGGTAACATACGAAGGTTTATCACCGGAATGCCAGCCGCGGCGAGCGGGTCCAGAAATGGCTCACTGAAGACGCTGGAGGACTAATCAGCATCTCTCCGCGACAATACAGCCTCCTCAGAGATGAGTATTCACGTACTGCATCCAGCCCGCGAGAACGACAAGATCGGGCTTGTCCTCGAGGACTTTCTGAGCCAACTCGGCATCGTAGCGAGCGCGGCCCGCTTTCAGCTTGGCCTCGTCCTTCTCGCCCTTCGTCACGAAACCTTGAGAGACTAGGTTGAAGTAATCGTGAGGGATGCCAACGTCCTTTGCCCTTTGCACTGAGAAAGCCTTTGCACGATTGACAATGACTTTGATGATCTTGCTGTTGGAAATCTGGCCATTCTGAACAGCATCGATAATGGCCTGCAAATTTGTTCCGCTTCCCGAACACAGGATGGAAATGCGGCAAGTCTGGGCGTCATTCGTAGCCATGGTGAAGTAGACGAGGCTGAGGAGAGGGTGGTTTGTGGAGGGGCACCAATAACAACTGATGGCCAATACGAGTTTGTGAGATGCGGAGGACGACGGCAGTCGATTTTGAGCCTTTGATTAAGAATGTAGGATAAAGCCAGGCCTTCGTGACTGTCTCTCCGACTTCTTGGGTCTTGGGCCTAGGGTTACTCGGTGGCTCCGCAGCGTTGTGTTCCGTCGTACTGGGAGATACTTCTGGTTTGGATTGCTCAACGTGAGGAAGGGGGGGGAAAAAAATCGGCGGTCCTGAGGGGTAGCGGGGGGGGGGGGGGGGCNGGGGGGGGGCCGCGATTGGCTCGTCCGCCAGCGAAGTTGGAGCGGCCGGGCTGGGGCCGCTGCCCGGGCCGTAGACGGGCCTCCGACCGAGAAAATCTCGAACTGTCTTTAGCAGCTGCTCATTGGGCAGCCTTGATCGGTACTGCGTAGTAGATGCGCCTCCGTCCAGGCCCAAATCAATCAAATCAGTGGACACAACAGGTTCAACAGACGGCCTGGAATGGGCGAGGCGAAGGTTGCATCAGGCCCCAGAGCACAACAGATGAAGTTGTGAAATCTATGCGGATGTTCCGATTCATTGGATGGTATACGTTCACAGAGACACGGCTGACTTTGTGAGTATGTCCTTGCTTTGTCGCGGAGATGCGAAGACTGAGGGCCGCCCGTATTCGCGGGCAAACGATCAACTGAACTGCCACGGGAAATACCGGTGTCAAGTGAGCCGGACGATTCGGAGCCTTCTGCCCATGTATGCCCATGGAACCCAGTCATTTGACGGACAGGCAACAGCGGAGGATATACTCCCAAGGCGGTATTCATTCGTCCCGGACCAGTCTACCAGGCCGCAACAGCATTGACAGAGAGACAAGGGGAATGAGGAACGGCTTTGTGAACGGGGTCGCCCCGTAGGGCCTGAGGCCCATTTTACTAATGGATGCATTGCGCGAAAGTGTTCAAAAGGTCAGAAAACCCAAGCTCTATTCTTTAGTGCATCACACTTCCTCAAGGCCAGCATGATCCATTCCTGTGCCGTACCAAGACCTTCCGGGCCCCGGACTGTTCCGCGGGAATCAATGATCCCACTCGGGCCGTGTGGCATTCATTCGTGATATGCTGACACGAGCTGCGGTCTTGCGACTCTCTGTACGTGACCCAAGTATCTGTAAGGGGCTTAAGCAAAAGTTTGGTGCGCGGTTGCAAACGCTTGCCACATTGCAAATGCTGCAGGCCTTGAGTGCAAAAGTCAGAGGCAACATTCGCATAATCGACAATACCTGACCGTACGAATACACCAGCAAGCTTTGCTATCCGTAGATGAGCCTGTCAACAATTTTGCGTCGGCCCCCATTCCTTCTAGCAGGGGTCCGCAGCGCTATCCAAGCAACTTCCTACTCGATTCGTACCACACTTGCACACCTCGAGCTCTAGGCTCAGGCACAAGACGATAGCTCAGAGCATCGCCAGGGGTTCCGGTCCATTCATGAGCCATCCGCGCACCATCCGCGCACCATCGTCAGATCTGTGATCTCCGACCCCTGCCAGCAGAAGCGCACGAGAGCGCCAAAGACGGACGCGAGAGGTCCGGCACCATCGACAGGCTCGGGTGCAATGGGGATTGTTGTCCAAACGCTGGGGCGGTAGACCAGTCGATGCGACCAGCCAAACCCAAAGTAGGTAGGCAGCGCGGTTTAGCTGGAGGGTACCCAGGGTATGTATCTATCCATCGCATGGGGCTTCACGCCTGTCTGATATTGACAAGGATGCCATAACAATTGCATCCAAGTTGCGGTGTTTGGTTGCATGTTTTCCTTGGACACGGTCCCAGAGAAATGCCATGGTCGGGTCGAAGGGTGACGGATGGGGAGGATGAGACTAGACTGCAGCTGGGGTTCGCAACGCAACGCGACGCGTGAACAGAACAGACGAGACGCTCAGAAACCCTAAGGTAGCCAGTAGCATCGTACGGGTGGATGCATTGCAGAGTCACGTTGGTGCAGACTGCAGTCACCTATCCGTAGGTACCTACCACGACCTCAATTTGTTTACCTAGGTACCTTACTTGGACCACTTTTCTGTGGAAAAGACCGCGACTCCCGTCCGAATCACCGAGACCTAAGGTACCTGGGCTGAGTTGGAGGAGGTCGCCAGTTTGTCGAGGCGCCGGGCTTGGCTTCCTGCCAGGCTCTGGAGCGGCGTCAATCATCTGGCTTCTTGCAGGTTTTTTTTCTGGGTTGGGGGATATCCGTTGAGATGGTCTAAATATGCGATACGAGGCAGTGTATGTGGAAAATAGAAATCGGGACTGGGTTGGCGGCAAAGACCTGACGGACTTCCCTGGAAGTGGGTGGAGAGTTGTGTGTGTTCTTCCGTTGCAGGTACAGTGTCTTTTAGCGCGCGATGAAGCTGGAGGTCCAGGCTGCTTGGCCACCCGACCTGCTTGCTCAGCGATGGAAGGCAGTGCGGTCCAGTCGCCGCGTCGTTCCTTCCCACATGCTTGCCGTGCCCGCAAGGCGGGTTACATAAGGCAGGGAACGCATTACAGCCATCGTATCGCACCGCGCCGGTCACATCATGTCGCTGATCAACAGCCACTTTCCGGGTCAAGTTCGCACAAAAACATGGAACCCGCAGCACGCACCATGATTCATCCACCTGCTAACATATGGAGGTCCAATCCGTCATTGTCTCTGTTGCTTTTGCATACAAGAACACCGCGCCTTCATGATACCTTACTTAGGCACAGCCAGGCGGGCGTTGCAGCTGTGAGCTTCTGGTCCACTCCACGCATGGAACGAACAGGTGCCACTATTCAAGCTCCAGGATTGTCGTCGGCGAGTCCTTCTGGGGCTACGAGACAGGTAGCGCCGCGCTAGAGCCCCTTGGAGCCATCGTTCTGTGCGCTCTCTTGATTCGCGTGTCGCATTTGACCGGAATAGCTGGCTTTTCTGAGGTGGGCAGGGGGGTTGCAAAGTTGGTCGTTGGTTGTATTGGATACTTCCTCAAGTCTCTCTCTGTGAGGCTCTTCGTCGAAACGAACCGTCGCCGAAAACTACTGACTGGTTCATGGCCTCTGCTGCTTCCAGATCGAGATCACCAGGGCTACAGCCGGGAAGAACAGATTGCACGAGACGGAAGAAGCAACCAAGCCCGCTCCGTTTGTGCCTCCTCCTTCTCTCGCCGTGCTTCTCGGGCTGGGCATCTTCGGTCGACGCAGCCTAAAAGCCAAAGGCTGCATTTGTACCTGTATGATACCTAGAAAATTGCCCACGGAGCGGAGACAGGGAATTTACCTTCCCTTCCATGCAGGCCCGCTCGGCCCTAGCTGAACTCCCGCCGTTCAATCGACATTCGGTCTTGCGCCAACGACATGCCCTAGACCCCAAGTTTCTGCGAGCGCTGAGAACGGCCGAGCTGAGGTCTAATCGCGTCTAAACATTTCACCATTCGGTCACGCCCACAGCAGACAGACATCAGCAACAGCAACAGTAACAAGCCTCAAAGAGTGGCGGTGATCCAAGGTTGCAGGCTGGCCTGGCGTTGACACGCAACCAGCCATTCATTTCCCGGCACATGGCTTCGTTCGCAGCCACAGGCACCATGGGCAAGGCGTACAGTCCAACGAAGCAAAAGAAAAGAAACTATGAGACATGGCACACTGTTCAACGGACGCGGTTGTCACTGGCCGCCGNAAGAAAAGAAACTATGAGACATGGCACACTGTTCAACGGACGCGGTTGTCACTGGCCGCCGTTGGATTTGGCTAGTTTGTATGAGTCTTCAGCGTCAATCCGTACCTACAATTTTGGATCTTGACGGAGTACGGATAAGTAGGTATTCATTGAAGAAGGCGGCGGCGGCGGCTCCGAGGTCCAATTTCACAACGCCCGGCCTTGCGACCGACGTTGCCGCCGGTACGAGGTCGTCATGGGTCCAGGCCTCCTTCCCTATTGACATTGACCGACCAGGATGCTCGCAGTCCGCTGGGATTTGCCCTTCCATCCAAAGTCCAATTTACCCGATTACTTGACAACACAAGTTAGTCGTAAAGCTTGCTGATGTTTTCAGAACGTCTCCGGCTGCAGGGTTCAGTCGATGTCGACAGGTTTCGCAGCAGGGCCAGAGAACGGAGGCGGGAAAGCTTGCAGGACGGGAGGCTGAGCAGGGTGACCTGGTGCAGCAAGCAGCACCTCATGGAACGAGATGACGGGGCTGCATGCTAAAGCACGAATACCGCACGGCGCTGGTGGCGGGAACCTTGAGGGCGGACGACGCCGTGCAACATACCTTAAGGTATCTTACGCAGTAAGAAGCAGTCCAGTCCTGACTTATTGGTACCGGTGGTGGTGACATGGCAAAGGGGAAATGAGTGATTGTTCCAGCGGCACACGACGAGACTAGGCCGAATGAGTCTTCCCTTCAGAGGGTTCATTGCCCGAAATGTCACCCAGCCCACGAATTTTCCGAGCTAGAGGGAGAGACAATGGCGAAAACCTCCGGAACTTTGGACGACGCTGTGCCGACGGGAGTCGGAGGACGAGAGCTTGGAGAGGTAACCCAGGGCAAAGAAGCAAGCAAGTAAGTAAAGAAGCCGTGCGGTCTTCCACGCTCTGTCTCTGTCTGTTGCTCATCTACGGATAGTCTGCGCTCATGATCAGAGTTCAGCATAGCTGCTGCAAACCACCGACCGCATCGCCCGGCCTACGGTATGGTTGAGCTGGCTGGTTGATTGTCTCCGGGCCATCCCATACCATACCTAGGTGCCTTGCCATGCATCCATCCATGCCATGCCGTCAACCTTCAAGCATCCCTCCCCTTGTCCACCATTCTCCACCCACACCCCCCTGACCCCCTGACCCTGAGCCCCTGGACCCAAAGATTTTTTAGCATTGCGTACCAAGGAAGGACAGACCCTTGAAAAAAAAAAAAAGAGAAAAAAAGAAGAGGGGACAGAGCCAGGCAGCGGC